GTGTGCCCTGATTGATGCACCTGTTTCTGATATCGACATTGTCATCTTCTGTCTTCATGGTCTTGGAAATGAATTCAATCAATTCTTGACAGCAGTTTGAGCTAAGGGCAACCTAATATCTGTTGAAGATTTTTCTCGACTCCCTAGTCGAGTATGAAGTGAACATGAAAGAACAAATCTAGGTGACCTCTTCAGCGCCGACCACCTTTTTCTTCCAAGGAAATCGGTGCGGCATCGAAAGGTTGAGATAGTAGTAGAAGCTTTCACAGGAACACCTTCTTCGCCACGCTAAAATCCCTCCTATTTTTTTGTCCTATGCTTTTTCCACTATAGTTTATCTCATTAACGACCTTCCATCATAATCTATGCACGGTAAAATTCCTTACACCACTCTTTTTAATCTCTCTCCCCACTATCACGAACTTTGTGTTTTGGTTGTTTGTGCTATCCCTGGGTGTATCCTTACTCTACTACCAAACTTGATCTTCGATCTAGATCATGTATCTTTCTTGGCTACTGGCCTCAACGGAGTGCATACTGATGTTTGATCCCTCTACTCGTAGTCTTTTCCTCTCTCCTCATGTCATTTTTATAGAGCACACTTTTCTTGGTTTTTCTTCTAACCCTACAATTACTCTCATTATTAACTCCATTCCACTTTGCCAGGCTTAGACATCATTATCTACCCCACCTCCCTCCCATGAGTCGAGATCATATACCATCTCTGCTTCTCGTGCAATAGTGGCCTCCCCCGGCTAGTCACCCGACGACTCAGAATCCTCACCGGTGCTATTGGCTCCCCATGGCCCCGCTTCATCCAATGGATATGAGCCTCCTCCTCCATGGGGCCGCACTCACACGATGGCACCTATTCTCAGTATGAGAACTTTAAGCCCAATCGGCTTTTTATCAATCACATTACTTCTAGCCCTCCTCAACTTCAGGCCACTTAAGTTCGTGAGGTACTTCGCAATATGGAGTGGACTGTTTCTCTCAACACTGAACATGCTTCTTTCATTCACAATGCCACTTTGGGCTTAGTTCTCCGTCAGCCTCAATGTTTTGGGGAACCTACTAGTCTTCCGGATCAAACGTCACCCCGATGGTTCAATTGAGCATTACAAGGCCTGTCTTGTTGCCAAGGTTTTCATCAACGTCCCGACATTGATTTCCATTGTATATTCAGTCAGTTGCCAAACCCGTCATTATCCTTGTCATTTTCACATTAGCCCTATCCAATGGTAGCCAATTTATCAGTATGACGTTAACAATGTTAGCTCACAAGGTCCTTTGCAAGAAGAAGTGTACATGACACAACCACCTGGTTCTCTTATCCGTACAAACCTCGTCACATATGGTACCTTCATCTTGCTATCTATGCCCTTCTTGACCCCCCCCCCTTCACGTGCGTGGTATACTACCATTGGCTCCATTCTTCTTGCATATGGCATCCTGAAGACTCACTCCGATGCATCCTTATTTGTGTATCATTAACACGGTGTCACTCCTTTCTTCTCGCATATTGCTCTTGACTTGTAATGATGCTATTGTCCTCACTGCCTTCTAAGATGTTCACTTTTGGCGTTTCTCAATCAAGGAATTGGGTTCTGTTAATTATTTCTTGGGAATCAAGCTCATCCCTACAACTACTATTTATCTGCTATCTTAACACAAATACATGACATACATCCTCATTTGTTTCCATATGTTGGAGGTCGCTGCTACACCCACGCCTGTTGCATCGACTAACTAGTTATCCCTCATGATGAGAATTCTCCCTCTGATGCTACCTATCCTAACATTGCCTTTACTATTAATAAACTATCTCAGTACATGCATGCTCCATTATCTTTTCATTGGTAGTGTGTCAAAAGGCTCTTATGGTATGCTCGTGGGACTCTCCATCATGGCTTCCTAATTCGTCCACAACATATTCCTCTCAACTTTCCGCCTTTGCAGATTCTGACTGGATAAAGAATGTTGATGATCGGTCTACCTATCTACTTTATTTGGGCACTATTCTTGTCTATTGGCGATCTTAGAAGCAACGCACAGTTGCTCGCTCCAACATCGAGGCTTAATATCGCACCATTGTCCATGCAACTACCGAGGTTGAACGGGTCTAGAATTTTCTTGTCAAGCTTCATCCCCTAGTGACTAATCTCTAATGCTATTTTCTGACAATCTTAGTGGCACATACTTCAACTTGAATCATGTATTCACTTTCGCATGAAACATCTATCCTTGAACTATCACTTTATCCACTAGCTCGTTCAAGCTAGTCGTCTTTAAATTCACTATGTCTCCACTGCTCATAGTCACGGTTAGTTGACTGCTTCACTAAGCTCTTCAAGCGGCTTGTTTTATACTTATTTGGTCCAAAATCAGTGTCGGTGACACTTCCTATGTCTTGCAGGCTGTGTTCGAAATACAATAGAATATAGCATTTTATTCCTTTTATATTTATTTTATGCCGACTACATTTTACTCGATTAACTATCAATGAAAAATAACATCATGTTAAATACAAAATGAATTTATTGGTTTGACCACATCATTTTTCATCACCTAAGCAAAGAAGTAGCAATTAGTACCGTTTAATTAGAATAAATATAATTTGTCAATAAAACAAAACTTCTACTGCAAGTAAATCACAGTTAATATTTCCCTACTTTACCTTTTCCAACCTATAAACCTACCTATTAAATCAATCCCCTTGCCTCGCAGGGATGTGGAGGACAAATTGATCTGGCATGATACTGTCGATGGGGTTTTCTCCGTCAAATCTGCTTATCATCTGGCTGTCGCCTTGGATAGGAGGAAGGGTAGATGGAAATCAGTGGTGGGTTGGATGGACAAGCCTAGCTGGGTTCGCTTGTGGAATGCAGATATCCCCACTAAGTTAAAAGTCTTTGTATGGCAGATCCTTAACCGTGCTCTCCCAACGACAGAGGCTCTCATTGAGAAGAAAGTTCCAGTCCACCCCAGATGTTCAGTCTGCTGTGAGGGCATTGAGACTTTGGAACATCTCTTTCTTGAGTGTCCAGTAGCTCGTGCCCTCTAGGACTATTCGGGTCTGGAGTATCTTGGGGAGGGATTGCCTCGGCATACCTTCCCGCTCTTTCTGAAGAGATTGCTGGCTTTGGTTCATAACCCGGCGTTGTTCATGACGGTGGTGGCCATCCTGTGGAGGATTTGGCGATCTCGGAATTGGGTTGTCTTTGAGGGCAAGCAGTTCGGGATCCCAGCCTTGATGCGTCAATTTCACCAGCAATATGAGGAGTGGGTTGGTCTGACCTCAAGCCCGACACCGATGTGGATTTCGCCAGCTCCAGACCATACAAATTCTTTGGGTGACAACAGGGTGATTTGTATGTGGGATGGGGTCACGAGAAGTGGGTCTCACTCGACTGGTGGGATGGTTCTTATGAACCTAGAAAGGGCGATCCTTTTGGTAAAGGTAGTTCAGTTTCAGTCGATCGATGACCCCATGGTTGTAGAATTGCTTGTACTCAGGGAGGCTCTCGTTTGGTGTCTGGATCTCGGCTTCTCGGAGGTCAGATTGGAGGGGGGATGCTAAAGTGCTCGTCGATAAGATCAACAAGGCATATACTAGAGATAACCGGGTGGGGGCAGTGCTTGAAGAGATAGGATACTATTTTCAAGCCCATCCTGGTTTGACCATTCGATTTGTAGGTCGGCGTAACAATAGGGTAGCCCATTTGGTGGCTAGAAAGACCCTTTCTTTGTACCCGGCTATAAGTCGGCACTTTAATTTTCGGACCTGGCTTGCTACCCGAATGCAACTATCAATTACTTTTTATCAATATATTATTATCTTTTGTAAAAAAAAAAAACCCTATAAACCTACCTACAGTTTTCCTTCATTTTCCGGTCTTCCTATTTGATCTCGAAACCTCTTAATTATTAAAAAAACACAATTTCAACACTCAATTTGTTATTTATTTTTTGGCTGTGACTTGACAATTCCAACGTAAGCGTGGCAGAAAGAAGAACGTGCCGCAACCGCGAAAACGACGAAACACTCCCCCCACAGCACTATTTTTAAATTCCCCAGAAAAACCTGATAACTGACATCCCATTAACCTAGTCAACATTTCTCTGGACCAATTGTAAAGCACCACGTGTACCCCTCCGGTGGAAAGTTACTGGCACCTGCCGGTAGCGAGGAGAGCAGCTGTTTGTAAGTCCAAGTCTAATTTAAGAGGTTGACCGGTACAGGACGAAAATAACAGTAACAGATACAGTTAACCTACAAAAAGAAATAATTATTTCATTTATTATACACGAAAACTGCCTTTTCCCCTGATTTATAAAAAAAAAACAAAATGTAAATTTTCCGGGAAATAAATGTTTTCTCGAGAAAGCGCGTTTCTAGTCAATTCAGTGAGTGAAAAGTGAAGGAGCCGATAGGCTACCTTGGTCCTCGAACAGTTTCTATATGGTCACATAAGCCCCCAAATTTGTATTTGGAGTCAATTCAGTTCATTCACTAATATATATATGGTAATTATTAGGTCTATCAAGCACTTATTAGACCGATGGAAATAGATAAATTAAGAAGCTAAACCAGTAAACCTATATTCAACCATAAAGAATTATGCTTTAACACTTCCTTTGTGGCCTTGTCTCCTAATACAGTTTCAATTGACTAGATAGTTTTGGACGATTTCAATTAGATGTCACAAACCGATGGTCACGTTGCGATCATTAGGTTATTGCGGTTGAGTTGTTGACTGTTAATATTATTTGATGCACATCAAAGACGACACATCATTCCAAGTTAAATGTTGAAATAGTACAAAGACGATAAATAAATAAATAAAATTCTACGAGAAATCCTCATTAAAATCAGTTTGGTTACTGTGAAATTACATTTAGCAGCATTGTGATACTATACAAAATATATATTACCATAGTGAGATGATCGTACCATAGCAATGATGCGCGTTATATATAAACTATACATCTAATCCACCCTATTAATCGTCAGGATCTTGAGATTTGAGATCTAATAATGGAGTCATTTATATTAGATTGGGAAATTTGTTCCCACATAAGGAAGTTTGGTGACTAAAGTGACATAAAGTAAAACGCTGAGGGCTTATCTGATTTTTGTGTCGTGCTGAGAAGTGAGAACCAGAGGGGCTGAGGTTAATTACCGTGAAACCCTTTGGCCACCCATGGCTGGCTGATAATATAAAAGGAGGGCCGGGAGCAGCTTGGAGAACACAGAGAGGAAACACCGAAAAACCAAGTGAGGATAAACACTTCTCCCTTTTTCCACCCTCTTCCATTTTTTTTCTCAGCAACCAAGCAATCGATTTTCCTTCAAGTTCATCCCTTTTCCCCCCTTCCCCAATTCTCTGTATCCCTTTCTGTCAGTCGTCTGTCTCTCCAAGCGTTAAAAAGGTTTTCTCAAAGCTTTTAACTTTTGATTGCCAGGTGATTTCACAGAATTGAGATCCAGTATCAAGTTCTTTTTCTTTTTGTTCGATTTGTAGCTTTGTTTTCAGCTAAGAGGGTCGATTTTTGGTTCCCTCTGTAGTTGGGTTTAATCTTTTTTTTCTTCTTCTTCTTCTTCACTTCCCCTGTTTTCCATTCCATTTCTCTGTTTTTTTTTTAGCTTTTTAAAACAGGCATGGCGGCAGCTATAGATATGTACAATAGCAGCACCAGCATAGCTTCTTCTTCATCTGATTTTTCAGATCCTTGTAGTGGAGAGCTGATGAAAGCACTTGAACCTTTTATGAAAAGTGCTTCTCCATCTCCATCTCCATCTCCTTCCCCATCTTATTCTTCTTTTTACCCTAATAATTATTCCCCTGAATCTGATTCGAGCTCTACCCAATTTATTTCACAAGGGTACTCGATGTACAACCCCCAAGTCTCCTTCCCTTCTTCTTCCCTAGGTCTAAACCAGATTACCCAGTCCCAAATGCTCCAGATCCAGGCTCAGCTCCAGCTCCAGCAGGCGAATCTGGCCGCATCACTCCATACCCAGAGGTTCAGCAGCTTTCTGGCCCCGAAGCCCGTCCCGATGAAGCAATCCGCCGCCGCGGTGGTGGCTTCATCGAAGCCGGTGAAGCTTTACAGGGGAGTGAGGCAGCGCCACTGGGGGAAATGGGTCGCCGAGATCAGGCTACCCAAGAACCGAACCAGGCTCTGGTTGGGCACCTTCGACACCGCTGAGGAAGCTGCTCTGGCTTACGACAAGGCAGCTTATAAGCTGAGAGGCGATTTCGCCCGGCTCAATTTCCCAAACCTCCGCCACCAGGGAGCCCACGTCTCCGGCGAATTCGGCGAGTACAAGCCCCTCCATTCCTCTGTCGAAGCCAAGCTCCAGGCGATTTGCCAGGACTTGAAACAGGGGAAAACAGGGGAGCCGGGTTCCAAGCGGGCTAAGAAGGCGAAACCCGCCGTCGATGCCCCCGTGGTTCCGTTGATGAAAGTGGAGGAATCGTCGGTGAGCGAGGAGGAATCTTCTTCGAAGGCGGAGAGCCAGTGCACCGGATCTTCGTCTTCGTCTTCTTCCCCTGAATCGGATATGTCGTTCTTGGACTTCTCGGAGACGGATTCGAGCTGGGAAATGGCGGAGAATTTCGGTTTGGAGAAGTTCCCTTCTGTGGAGATCGATTGGGCTGCGATCTGAAGAGTTTATTTGCTATGTAATTTTTAGTTTACCCTTTTTATGCTTTTTCTTTTTCGGTTTAGGTCAGCTCAGCAGCTATCTGCAATGGAGTTTTTGACAGTTGCAGAGGAGCGCTGAGACTACATAGGAAGATGAAGATCTGGTCCAAGTTGGGTCAATTTTTTTTCACCTGCTTGTGGCCTTGAGAAGATTTGAGGGTCTATCTTCCCTCTCTTCTCCATTAGTAGTTTTTTTTTTCCACTTTTTACTTTGTTAGGGTTTGAGGGTCATAGCTTGGTAATTTTTATCACCAGCTTTGATCATTCTTCTTTTACTTTGTATCCTTTGGGGGCTTCTGCTATTGTAGCTTTGTAATTATTATGATGATTATTATTAAGCTGTGTTTGTTTGTAGTCTTTAATTATCTTCTATAATTTGTGTTTCTGACTGCTTTCAAAATAATTCGAGTTGTTTTCATTGTTAGAAAGAAGAGATTAATTCTTGTCTAAATAGTAAATTCAAGAAGCTTCCCGCGCTCGCGTTGGTTTCTATCTACTGATCAATTCCAGCCACTAAGATTGGACATTAAGAATAAGTGTCAATGGAAGTTCTTGGGGGGAAATTGGTTTATAACAATCTAATATGTTGGGGGAACATGAAAAAAATAATACTAGAGACTATGTTTTCTTATGAAAGTAGTTGTACCACATATCATCAAGTAATCAATCTAGCCCACAAATTGGTTAAAGGGGTGGGATACTATGCTAACCCCTAAAGGGGTAGTGATTTTCAACACCCCCTTTATGATTGACCAATTTTATTTTCAATCATTGGCAAGTATTAATTAAACTGGTTTTTTATTTTTTTAATCTTGTAATTTGGGGTCTCTCACCCACATTGGAAAGGGAAAGAATATGGGGAATCTGAAAAAAGCTCCCCCCCAAATGTGCAATTAATTGCCTTTTTTTCTTCCTTTCGTCTCCTTCTCTCTCCATTTGGGCCCTCTTTCCATTTTGATTTCATTTTAACCAGAACCCTCCTCTACTCTGAAACGACCAAAACCCTCCAGCGCCTTCCCCCACCACCATCCTCCTATCTCCAGCTGCCGCCATCCTGGGATCGCCTCTGACCTACCTTGTGGATTGCTCGCACCAGTGGAGTGGTACGTGTACCAGTGGAGTGGTACGTGTACCAGTGGAGTGGTATTTGTACCAGTGGAGTGGTACTGCATTGTTGCTCCGTTATTGTTTATCATTGTTATGAAAAATATCATTGCACTGGTATTGTTCTCACTCTAACCTACCTTGTGGATTGCTCGCACCAGTGGAGTGGTACGTGTACCAGTGGAGTGGTACGTGTAATTAATGTACCAGTGAGAGAAATTAATTATGTAATTAATGGGGGTGATTTCGTTTTTCCCCAGATTCTTTCTCTTTTCCAATGTGGTGAGAGACCCCAAATTACAAGATTAAAAAAAAATAAAAAACCAGTTTAATTAATACTTGCCAATGATTGGAAATAAAATTGGCCAATCATAAAGGGGGTGTCAAAAATCACTACCCCTTTAGGGGTAGTCAAGCTAACCGATCCCTTGGTTAAACAATATGGAGTGGGCATTTTAATTTAATTCCCTTCATTTTTCTTGAGCTGAAGGGAGGGCAAAATATTTATGGGTGACCCAAATGTTTGAATTTTTTCCTTTTCGAAGCCATCGATTCAAAAGTACATAAATATAATTTACTAGTCGAATATGTACTCTATGTGTCAAATATTAAATGAGGCTAAAGCATAGCTAGTGAAACAAGAGTATTGAATAATTTATATCCATATTAACCTCATGCTCCTATCGATCAATATCAACCGCGGTCTAGATAAGATAGCACAAATTTCTCAACCATAGTAAAATTGGCCTATACAATGGCACATTTCTTTTCAGCGGCGGATCCAGAACACAGTAGAGAACTGGGCCGCATTTCATTGGAAAATTCGATATCGTAAAAAAAATATTATGATTATAGTTTTTTTTTACAATGTCAATTGTACACGACGGTCTTTTAATTTAGCGAATGCATCAATAATGAAATCTACATCCATACCAACTATGTTTCAAATAAAATACTTGAGCAATCAGCGAGAAATTCATCGCTCATTTTGTTGCGCAAATCAGTTTTAACATGTTTCATTGTTGAAAAGGTTCTCTCCGTGGTAGCTGTTGAAACGAGAAGCATCAACACTAGACAAATCAATTGACTAATCAATTTGCACCGTGTGTCCATCCCTATATCCTCCATGCTGTTGTAGTAAAATTTTAAGGGAACAAACCTCATATTTCTTTTAGTCTTTTACGCTTTAGACTTTAGGATTTTTAGTTTTATTGTTTTTTTAGACGAAAAACCTTTGGAGCTAGAATTTCTAGGATAAATTTAGAGTAATGAATTGAATATGTTCATCTGAATCATTTATCTAATTATACACAATCATATTATAAAATAACATTGGGTTGAATGACTAAATCCGACAAATTTATAAGGATTATTTTAACTCCGGAACTAGAAGAGGGCTGGGCCTCGGCCCGGGGTGGCCACCCCCTGGATCAGCCAATGTTTCTTTTCCTCTGTCCCACTTCATTATTTAACCCAAGCTAGGGTTATTCTTGATAACAACGACTTTTGTAACCTATGGCATACTAAACTTTGTAAATCAAACAATAACTACATATTTGTATGATGGCAAAGCAAAACATCCCACCAATTGGAATCTAGGTCTGATCAGGCTTTGCTGACAATAGAGATTTATTACCAGCAAAGCAAGCTACTTATTGGTTATAGAAATCCAATCGGTTACTCAAAGTCAAAATCCAAATGCACGATACTAAAAACTTGATTGACATCTTTGAATTGCGTGTGGGATGGGGCCATGAGCATTCGTCCATATATACGCCCATGCTAAGCTCCAGAACCAGAAGAGCAATAATGGAGTGAATGGAATTATTGATCAGACTCAGACCCATATCTCAAAATGATTGTTTGCTTTTTGAAAATAAGATGGCCTCAATAGTACCATTTGCATCCAACCAAGTGGTGGCAATCAATAGAATTTGATTGAATTACCTCACAAGTTCCAAAAATTGCAGCATCGATCTTGTCAGTCACATTGTTTCCAATCCAAAGACTTGAAACGTATATAAAAAGACATGTTTAGTGTTAGCTCAATTCGTTCATATAATTATTGATATGTTTGCTCTAACTTATTATGGATGTTTGAAATTGAGCCTCCAATCATGGTTTGCTCATGTGATTCAGTAATTAGCTAATGAAGGCTCCAAAGTTCATTTGACAATGTTGTGAAATGATTTCAATTGGTTGAATAAAGGAGATGATAACGTACAGGAAAGATGTATACTGAAGTATACGCTTCTTGTTGATTCAAAAACTCGAGTTTGTGCTCGAGTAGAGAATAGGATATTGGCTTATACATTGCAAAGCCACTCTCAATTTAAGGATCAAGTCATGCATCGTATCTTGTTCTCGAAACACAAATGAATGTTGGAATTATTATGAGACATATGATATAATTAAAAATGACGGTTTTGAAAAAATTGAATAACATATTATTGTAAAAGTGACGATTGAATCGATGAGTGTAAATGCATCATAAGATTCATCACATCATCGTCTTTTGTAAATGGATAACAGAGTTTGTAAGTTCTTAAGTTGCCAAGTTCATGTTAGGTCAAATGTAATACCACTTAAAGACATAGTATATGAAAGTTATCACAAAAGAGCATCCCATTATTGTTAGAAATGGAACTGCTGATTTGAGTTGGGCTCCGAGCCGACCTCAACAAGAGAGAGTAATTGGCACCATGGTTTTAGGAATAAAACTGAGTCTGGAAATTTATCTCGAAATAATGAGAGGTTAGTTTCCAAGGGTTATAACCAAGAAGAGGGGAAAATATTATGAAGAAACGTTGGGTCTAGTTTCCTGGATTAAAGCAATATGCCTGGTGTGTGCATTTGCTAGTGCAAAAGAATATAAAAGTATTTCAAATGGATGTGAAAAGTGTCTTCTTGAATAATTATTTGGGTTAATACCTTAGTTTGGACTGAACTATACACAAACTTTCTACTTTGTCCCGTGGTTTCCGAAATTGCTATTTTAGCCTAAACTATGTAGCATACTTCCTAATTTGGCCCGGAGGTTAGTTTGTCCGTCAAAATAGACGGTCAACAGAGTTGACCGTTAGGCGATGGCCAGTTCACCTGCCACGTCAGCAACCACATAATAAAATATATATTTTTTAATTTCTCTATTCCTTTTCTTTTTCTAATAATAATAATAATAAACTGAAAAAAAATTAAGCCCAATTTATGACGGTGGTGTAGACCCGGCCGTACCCCTAATCGGGAAGCATCTTGTAACCGACGGTGGTTATCGGCTTGGGGAGAGATGAAACGAAGGAATTGGATGGCGACGACGGTTCGGGTACTCACTCGTACTGGTAAGTGGGTATGTAGTAAAGGGGCTTGGAAGTGAGACCGTTAATGGCGAAGATGTTGCGTCCGCCTTTGTAAGTCCCCATTGTGATGAAATTGTAGGCGGCGGAGCCGTAAGGGTTGAATACGCGCTTGATTACGCCGTTTTCAAGCACCGTATCCTTGTCGACGGCGGGGGGAGAAGCGGGGAGGGCGGCGAAAGACGCGAAGCAGTGTGCGCGCCGGCGAAGGAGGAATTGAGAGACGAGAGGGCGGGGTCGGCGACAGCGGCGGCGGTGGAGATGGTGGTGGTGGTGGTAGTGGTGATTCGGGATATGCAGAAGCGTATATCGGAGGTGGAGATGGTGCAGCGGGAAGGGAGGAACTGGAGGACAGTGGCGACGGAGCAGAGGATGAGGAGGTTGGTTAGAGGAGCGAGGGCGCCGCCGCTGCGATTTTCCTTCCTCCAATGGCGGCGGCAACTCGTCGGAGAAGGGAAATCGGTCGGGAAAGGGTTTCGGGGAAGAAGGGTTTCGACGGATGGGGGACTTTTTTCCCAGATTAAGGAAATGCCGAATGCGAGGGGATAAATTGTTTTTAATTTTTTCCTGTTTATTATTCTTATTATTAAAAAAAGAAAAGGAATAGTGAAATTAAAAAATATATTTTATTCCGTGGTTGCTGACGTGGCACGTGAACTGGTCATCGACTAACGGTCAACTCTGTTGACCGTTCATTTTGACGGACAAACCCTCCTTCTGGCCAAGTTAGGAAATATGCTACATAGTTCAAGATACATAAGTATAATAATTTCAAATAACATAGGATGAAGAATTCAAGATAAGCTATGACATGGTTGATTGATTGTCCACCACATTGTTAGAACTAATGTGGGTATTACTATTATCATCAGAAGCAAGTAGGTTATTGTTATTTTTGTCGTGGCATCCCAGACATGTAATGTTGCTTTACAACAAGAAGAGAGGAATGCTCTGCAAAATCAGAAGATAGTAGCGTGTCTCCCAAGATACCCAACTCATCAAATTCCATCCATTCCAATAGCCCCATCATCACAGAGGATGCCACATTTTTACGCTGCCCCAATATGTAGAGATCACAAGATGGCACCACTCGCCCAATAATCCTGATCACCTCTTCCCCTGTCTTCACTTCCTTCTCAATGTACTTTATGTTTTTATCGTGCATCGTCCTAAACCTAAATTCGTTCACATACTCGTTGTCTACTTCAGTTTCATCTTTCTTGCTCGTCATCGTGGCTCCTTCACCTTCTCCTTCGTCTAAAGCTCTTTCTTCTTTGTATTCACAATCAATATCATTATGGTAATTAACATCATTGGTGGGGATGAGTCGAAGGATGGTGAGATTGACATTAGGTGATTTAGCCATCCTCCACCCGAGAGCAAGGGCCTCTCGATCATCTGCCCCTCCTATAAAGATAACAACAAATGAAACTTGTGGTTGAGTTGTTGTATTTTCTTTATATCCAAGCCCACGATCCACAATTATTCCTACGGAGCAAGTACTTGTGTACATAAGATTCTTATTGACAGTCCTCCAATTTAAGTTCCCATCCTGCAACCTCCTATAAACATCAGCTTGCTTATGAAAAGGGATCAAGATGAGTGTCACATGCTTGTCCTCCCCTAGGCAGTTAATGTCATCATGCATCGTGGTATATGGGGACACAACAGTGAGTGTTTGGGTAGACACCGAGGAACCTCGATTCTCAAGACTCTCGAAAGTTTTGAGGATTGTCTTTGAATCTTCATCTTGATAACTTAACTTTTGTCCTGATCCTTCAAAAGTGTTGTGGAAGTTGTTTTGGTTGTTATGATCATGGACAATCAACATTGTTGTGGCACGTCTATCAGTGAGCTGGACTAAATTGAGGGCGAAAACTGAGATCGGGTATTGCTTGTTGGCATTTGAGTGCTCTAGGAGGTTGATCATGCCTGACAAATTACGTGTCGAATGAATGCATGTAAGTACTCTAAGCTCAGAGTCCAACTTATTGCTCTCCATTGTTCTGCGATTGATTTTGTTAGATCTCTTCTTGGACTTGTTTGCTGCTCTAGTAAAAGGTATTACAGTTATGGACATCACTAATACTGAAAGTATTAGCACCACAAACATTAGTGTGTTGAAGCCCTATAGAAAAAGAAAAGGTTAAGTTAGAAAAGTTTTGTTTATATATTTTTTAAATTGCTTGAACCATAGAATATATATCTAATAATATATTATATAGATTCAATATGCAATAAAATTTATTTCATTTTAAGGATTCTAAAGGTACTTAAAACAAAATTTTTCAAAATTATGTTACACATTGTTTCTGAAAATCAAAATCATATTCATAATATTTTAAAATTGAAAATAACTGTAGTTAAGAATTATAATAACTATAAATAAGAGCTATCTTGGTAATTTCTCTTACGATATAGTATAATAGTTTATGCCTATAACTCAAATTATTGAATATACCTGGTTGTTTCTGCCGCTGTTGATGACTATTAAAGCTAGAACTCCTTTTGTGTTCATGAGAACACCAAGTGTGAAGGCTTCACCAGTGGTCTTCCTCGCGAGTTTGGAGAAAATAAAAGTACTAGCAAATTTAGCCAACCAGGCTATGACTATGAGAAGGAAAATGGTATAGAGATGTGTGTTGTAGACAGGATTTAGGAGTGAACTTAAGTCTGTTCGGATACCATTATGCATGAAAAATATAGGGATCAAAATCCCTCTAACATAGTCTTCAAACTTCTCCATGATCAGTGTTGCCACATTCTCGTTGGGGATAATGAGACCAAACACGAAGGGACCAATAATAAAGTTGGCACCACAAGCGTCTGTGATGATCGATGACATTGTGATTCCACTCCATATAAAAAAGTTAAGAAGTGACGTGTTATTTGTTTTTTCTGCATATCGAAGGATCCAAGTAACCGCGGGGCGTATGAAGAACCAAGAAGCGATTAAAAAGGTGACTATTGGGAGGAGGTACAAAGGGTTCAATGTGTCACTATTCAACATTAGGGCAATGATGAGAAGAATCCACGTAGTAAGCTCGCTAACAATAGAAGATGACAAGGCTAGTTTTCCAATGCCTGTGTGGAGTAGTTTAGTGTCAGAGAGTATCCTGGCAAGATCGGAAAAGCTGGTGACAGTGAGAGTAACAGGCCAGAAGATGGCTCCGGTTAGCTTAACTGGAGCCAGGTTCTCCCAAAACTTTGAGGCAAAAAATTTTAGATACCGTGAGTTAGCAGCCAATATAAAGAACTGGATGAACCCTATCAAGAGAGGAAGTACCATCCCAGATAAACCTGTGTATAATGCTTGTTGTCCAATATGTCGCAATGTAGACAGGTCAATCTCTAATCCCATAAGGAATGCATAGCACATGAGGCTCACGTTTCCCAATGTATCTAGCCCCTTTATGCTATTAAGAGGAACAGTGAAAACTGGAAGCCATAATCTCAACCCCTGACCAGCCAAAATTCCAGCCTACACAAATAATTCAAATTAACATAAAAATGAACATACATTTGTACTTTGTGAATATTTTCTTATGAAAAGGCCATCGATTTGAGCATACAATTTGAGCCTTCACCTAACTATTAGAATGATGACATATGTTACTTCATGAAAACAAATAATGTCAAATACAAAAATTATTCATCCTAACTTCAAATTTTAGACAATAAATTTATTCGAAAACACACATAGACAAGAAGGATTTCCTATTAGTGAACTACTTACCAGCAATTCCAAGGAGAAACGAGGGAGGTGCAATGATTTGAGGATGTGTGAAAGAATGTGAATGACAAATATGATGGAAGCTAATTGTACGGAGTAATAGGGGGCATTATAATAGCCAAACATGGGATCATTTTTATTTCTCGGCCTTGCGAGCTTCCAGAAGAATGCTGAATTGTTGAGGGAAATTGGAACAAGCTCTTTATGACATATGTTGACGACCCCACTAGTAATACCTTCCATTGTTACACCCGAAACATTACGTCGAGCCATATTGATCTGGATATGAATGCAAATGAAAGCTATCAACTTATCTAGTAGAAGAACAAAGGGACAAGTGATCGATGGTATATCAAAAGATATATTAGATAGCTAGACAGATGATTTGATGAAAATATATTGATAGTTTTCTTAAAAGGATTTCAACAAATGTTTGTTTTAAGTGATTGAGATGAATGAATAAAATTCTATATGAACCAATTAGTTACAAGAGTTCACAACATCCGTCAATTGATTTGTAATTTCTCGGATGGTTACTAGGTTGGTATTAGATAAGGATACGTAACAATAGTTGCGTATTCTAAAAATATTGTTAGAATAAAAATAAGACGGTTAAAAAATTAGGTGGATTGAATTCTATGATTCACTGGTGATGGACCCAATATTCAACCACCTCATACAACACATCATAATTATCCTTACTATGTGTATAAGCTATTTTAATTTGGTTGATTAGTTGGCAGGTGGCTTATGATACTCAACTAACTATACATGAACAAAAGTGAATGTATTTGCCATCTCACTCTCTAGTCCATGAACAAAATTTGAGACAAGTAATTCCCCTGAATGCCACCTCATAGCCACATGTTCAAAGGAGGAGAAAATAAGAGTTTGAGTTTAACTCCTCACCACCCACTCTTATTCCTCCATGACCAAGTAAAAGGCATAATTCTTTTCTTTGTTATTGTGGTGGGAGAGACAAATAGTATCAAGTTGTTCTTCTCCCTCATTCAACCCCTTTGTAATTAGGGTCACTAAATTCTTTATCCCACCTAGGCATCCTAAAATTCCACCTCCTCCATACCTTTGCTACGTGGCTTAAGAGTGAGAGATATGGCAAAGCTTTCATTCCCCATCAAGCAAACTACCCATCATTCCATGCTATGCAATTACACGTAATGCATGAGGTGGGGGGATTAACAAAGTAATCTCCAGAAACTTACCTCACTTTCTTGGTATGGCTAACACATAGCTAGCAAAGGTGGGATAATGAAAATTAGTTTTCTCAAACAACCACTATCCCCTTCCTACTATTTATACATGGCTCACGAGAAAGATGGGAGGGAGGTGATTTTCTTGTCTTTCATCTCTTACATGTTACTTACATTGTGAATGTGTTTATTTGCTATATTTACACTAACAAAACATTGCACCTATTTGGTTAGTTGTGTGATTTGTTTTCTATACTCAACCAGGCATTGCACTTAGGGTTGGTTGAAAGGTAAATGTATTATTCTTATTTAATTATGGGCACGCCACCCACGCCAGAATCAGGAGACACCTATAAATAGGATGCTCATTTATGCTTTCTTGGCGGTTTATATGGAGTTGAACTAAAATTCTCTCTTTAAGGCGGCTCAATACGCTGCTCCTGGTTACTCCTCTCATTACTAACTTGAGCTTCGGAGCAGGTCCACGTCGACCACCGCCGGCGGGTCCTATCCCTTGAACCCCCTGACCGGGGCGTTCCTGGACCCCACTCGCTGACTGGGCAGTGAGACCCCCGTGACTTCCAGTCGTAGCGGCTGATAGTCCG